CAATCACAGATGCTCATGGTTCAAATCTACCAGATGCTCTGCTGGAGAAGGAGGGGCAGTCTCCTCCTGTACCAGTCAGATCTGATTTGATGGTACACACACAAAATATAATAAAATAAAATTAAAAACAAATTTATAAAAAAATCTGCTGTCATGGACCTTTCCATAGTTCAGAAGAACAACAGCATTAGTCTAGATACAAAGGTGTGCCTAATCCAGACCATGTTCTTCTCAATTACTTGATATGCTTCAGAGAGTTGGACAATGACTAAGGATGGCAGAAGAAGAATAGATGCCTCTGAGTTGTGGTGCTGGAGAAGAGTCTTGAACACACCATGGACCGCCAAGAGAACAAATAGGTCTGTTTTGGAGAGAGTGAAGCCAAGTTTTTCCTTGGAGGCTAGGATTTTGAAGCTCTGCCTCACTTACTTTGGGCACGTGGCCAGGAGAGATCAGTCCTTGGAGAAGGACATCATGCTCAGAAAGGCGGGCGGGCAACACAGGAGAGGGAGACCGAGGATGAGATGGATTGATACAGTCACTGGGGCGATGGGGGTTGGTGTGTCAAAGTTAGTTCATAGGGTCATTATCATTACAAGTGACTCAATGGCATATAAAAACAATAACATACTATGACAGATTTGGAAGCAGGAGTGGCATCCACTTCCTAAATAATATGCCTCCGGAAATTCTATGAACTTTGATAAATGTCGATAGTTGTAGAGGAGCTTTAAGCCTTTTTTTCATAGGGTCACTATGAGTTGTGCCCAACTCGAAGGCAATCAACAACCACCACCACCATCCCATCATGTTGCCTACTGGCCCAGTGGTGAGGAGTTTTTAATTTTTTTTTTTAATTCAATGCAGACAACACAATCCTGCTTGCTGAAACTGAGGAAGACCTGAGCACTTGCTGCAGAGCATCAAGGACCGCAGCCTTCAATATGGATTGAAGCTCAAAATCAAGAAAACAAAGATTCTCACCACTGGTCTGAATGGCAGCATCATGATAGATGGTAAAGAGATTGAGATTGTTAACAGCCTCAGTTTGCTTGGCTCCACAATATTTTCTTTTTTTACTTTTGCTTAGAGGGACATTTTGCTGAGTATAGACTTTTTTTTGTTTTTTGGTTTTTTTGAAAAAAAAAAAAACGTATTGAAAGTTTACAGAGACATAGGGTTTCCATTCATTCATTGTTGCACTTTTCTTCCTGCCCACCCCCTCCCACTCAATTCAGTCTTCTTCTTGAAAAGAAAAAGGAAAATTCTTTCATTGTTATGCAATCCCTCCCCCCAAGTCCAGTCCACTGTGCAGCCTTGCAGTTGGAAAGTCTGCTGTCAGAGACCTCTCCAAAGTACTGAAGAGAAATGATGTCATTCTAGAGACTAAGGTGTGCCTGATCCAGGCCATGGGCAATTATTTGCTATGCATCAGATATCTGGACAATGAACTAGGGATGATAGAAGGAGAATTGATGCTTTTGAGCTGTGTTGGAGAAGAGTATTGAATATACCATGGATTGCTAGGAGAACAAACAAGTTTGTCCTAGAGAGGATGAAGCCAGGCTGCCCCTTGGAGGCAAGGATTTTGAAGCTTCATCTGACATACTTTGGATATGTTGCAAGGCGGAATCAGTCCTTGGAGAGGGACCTCATGCTTGGGATGGTGGAGAGATCATGCAGGAAAAGACCCGCGAAGAGATGGATTGATTCAGTGACAGGGGTAATGGGGTTAGGTGTATCAGAGACAATAAGATTGGACCTTCTATGAGATGGATTGACTCAGTGACCGGAGTAATGGGGATAGGTTTGTTAGAGACGATAAGGTTGGCTCAGGATACAGCAGGGTTTATAGCCATTGTACATAGGGTCACTATGAGTCACATAACAATAACATTAGTATGTAATTATATATGTTGTTGTTGTGTACTGTAGAGTCAGAACTGACCCATAGCTGACCCTCCAGAGAGTTTTCAGAGGCAAGAAGTCACACAGGAGGAGTTGCCAATCCCTCTCCCGTGGAGCAGCTGGTGGCCTCGAACGACGTGCCTTTGTGATTGCAGTACAGCTTCTTGCCACTAGGCCATCAGAGCTCCCCATATATCTTATTATATAATGTTGTTGTTGTGTACCATGGAGTCAGAATTGACCCATAGCTGACCCTCGGCAGGCTTCTTTCAGAAAACTGCGTGCCTTTGGGATTGCAGCACAACTCTTTGCCACTGGGCCACCAGTTGTTGTTGTTGTTATGTGCCATCGAGTCGCTAGTGACTCATAGCGACCCTATGTACAAGAGCCCTAAACGCCATTCTATTCTGTGCCAACCTTGCCATCTCCGACACACTCATTCCCACCACCCCAATCATAGAATCGATCAGTCTCATCGAGGGACTTCCTCTTCTGCGCCGTCCGTCCACTCTCCCAAACATGATGTCCCTCTTCAAGGACCAGTCCCTCCTTGCAACATGCCCAAAATATGTCAGACAAAGCTTCAGAGTCCTTGACTCCAAGGAGCATTCTGGCTTCACCCTCTCCAGGACAAACCTGTTTGTTCTCCTAGCAGTCCATGGTATATTCAACACTATAAAGCATTAATTGTCTTTCTATCATCCCTATTCACTGTCCAACTCTCCAGTGTATAGCACGTAATTGCAAAGACTATAGCCTAGATCAGGCGCACCTTAGTCTCCAGCCTGACACCGTTGCACTTCAGTACTCTGGAGAGGTCCATCACAGCTTACTTTCCCAATGCAATTAGTCTCCTAATTTCCTGGCTGCTGTTACCAAGAGTGTTGACTGTGGAACCAAGCAAACTAAAACTGTTAACTATCTCAATCTCTTCACCATCCATACTGATGCTGCCAATTGGCCCAGTGGTGAGAATCTTTGTTTTCTTGATATTGAGCTTCAATCCATATAGGAGGCTGTAGTCCTTGACCTTCTGCAGCAAGCGCTTCAGGTCCTCCTCAGGTTCAGCAAGCAGGGTTTTGTCATCTGCATAACGCAGGTTTTTAATGATTCTTCCACCAATCCTGATGCCACATTCCTCCTTGTACAGCCCAGCATCTCGGATGATCTGTTCTACATACAGATTGAAAAGGTATGGAGACAAAATACATCCCTGATGGACCCCTGTCTTGATTTTGAGGCCACCAGAGCTCCCTTATTATAAAATAGATAATAGCCTATTAATGTATTAGAAATAATAGGAATTAGTAATGAAATAGAAAGAATATATAATTATATAATATACAATTAATGTATTAGAAATCATAAGAAATAGTAATGAAATAGAAATAATGCAGTAAAAATAATGTGAAATCTATTTTAAATAATATTATATAACAGTATAAGTTAACAGATTAAATATATTGTAAATAATATATTATATAATAGTATAAGTCAAGAAATGAAACCTATTATAAATAATGCAATATTACCTAATAATAGCATATATTAATAATGTGAGTATATTACTATTGTGTTCTTTATGCTCCTTAACAGCTGCCTGTGCCTGGCTCACACATGGCTGAATGCTTTACTCTATAGCAGCTATCCACGGTTTGGGCCGACCAGAGAGTCTGAGGTTTTTTCTTTCCCAGAACCCTCTTCACACACATTGTATTGTTGACAAAGCCAGGAATTTTGGCCCATAGCCTAGACTGTGCTGAGGGTTCCTCAACAGATAGGTTTGTGCCTGCCAATTTCTTGAAAATTAGCCTTTGGACTTAGAGGCTTAAGGAAGCAGGCAAATTGGCAGCACAGAAGTTGTTAGCATTGAGAAGCAGGCCTTCCCAGTGGACGGCGGTGGTCATGGTGGCCACAGAGCCGTCCTGGACCCACCCCATCAACCAAGGCAATGCCCAGCAGTCCCTCTGTGACTTGTCTCCAGCCTGCCCGCTGCACCCCCTGCTCCTGCCCTCCTCAGACCTCTGGGTCCTGACACTTTGACCTCCTAAAGTGCAGCTTCAACTTGTCATTCCCTTGCTTTGGAGATTAACGGCTCATCCTGACACCTCTAACCCCAGCAGCCAGGCCATCCAGAAGGCTCCCCTTACAGTGAGCTCCTCAGGGAGGAGTTCTGGGAGCCTAGTGGTAAGGAGTTGCACTGCCAGTCCAAAGTCACGTGATTTGAATCTGCCAACTGCTCTGTGGAAGAAAGATCTCCTATGCTATTTTATTGTTAGATGCCCTTGAGTCATACCGACCCTATGAACAATGGATCTGAAACTGTCCTATCCTGTGTCACTCTTGTCCTCTCTGACACACTTGAGCCCGTTGCTACAGTCCCTGTGTCAACCCATCTTGTTGAGTCTTCCCATGTGATTTACTGCCTCTGAAAACCCACTGGAGGGTCAGCTGTGAGTCAGTTCCAAGTCGACAGCACATGACAACATCCTGCCAGCTCCACCCCAGCTATCATCCAGTGACTCCCCCCCCCCGTGCTCCCCCAGTGTCAGAGGAGAACTAGGTCCCTCAGAATATTCAGTAGCTAGTTGGCCTCTCTTCTGAGTGGACTCAAGGCCCCTAACGTGGCCTCCCTCCCCACTCTTCTGCCACTTGTGCCACCTTCTCCCTTTCTGCATGTTTCCTGTGCCGTTCCTCCTCCCTGGTGTCAGGGACAGGTGGTTCCCCATCTGGTCTTCCTTTCACGTGTGCCCACTCTTGCCCCTCTCGGGTTTCCTTCCTGGTGGCTCAGTGGCAAGGAGTTGTGCTACTAACCCTAAGGCATTCAATTCGTATCCACAGTTGCTCTGAGGAAGGACAGGCATCCTGCTCCCCTGCTATTTACACCTCCTGAAAGCCTGCTTGCTGGAGAGTCAGCTGTGGGTTGGTTCTGACTCAAGGGTACAGGACATTAACAAAAATCCCTGACAGACACACTGCTTCAGGGAGGAGGGACTTCCCTGAGATCCCTAGGGCTCAGCCCCACCCCGAGGAGGAGGCCAGTGCCTGTGGGGCAGCCCCTGCATCCTCCCAGCTCTGCCTCCTCCCCACAGCGTGGCCATTCTCTCCTACTTGTGTCGCAAGTACAGTGCGCCCTCGCACTGGTACCCGCCGGACCTGCACACGCGCGCCCTTGTGGATGAGTTCATGGCCTGGCATCACACAGCTATTCGGCAGCCCATGAACAGGATGCTGTGGATCAAGGTGAGTGGAGCACAAAGGCTACCTGGCCTGGGACGGGGGACAGCTACCAAGCGAGGCTGGGGCTTGGGGATAAGGGAATCAGGGACCCTGGAACCCAGGCCTGGCTCTGGTGGCTGCATCTCTCCCTCTGTCTGGTCCTGCTGCCCACATAAAGCTGTCCCTACCGCCTTAGAGTTCTGCTAACTACATCCCTGTTTCCATGGGCCGCTGGTGGGTTTGCACTGCCAACCCTTGATCAGGAGCTCAGTGTTTTAATTACCAGGCCACCAGAGCTCCCTAATGATAAAATACACAGGAACTCTGGTAATCTAGTATTAAGAAACTGCACTGTAATCCCAAAGGCATGTGGTTCAAATCCACCTGGTGCTCCATGGAAGAAAGATGGGCAGTCTCCTCCCAGATGATTTATTGCTTCTGAAAACCTACTGAAGGGTCATCTATGGGTTTGTTCCAACTTGAAAGGATACAACAACATAAAATATGGTGGGAAACAGTATGGTACATCTTTAAAACACCGGAAATAGAAATAACTCTTGATCCAGCAATCCTACTACTAGATTCCTGTCGGTTTTACGTACTGTCAAATAGCTGAACCACTAGCAGATTTTCAGAGGCAGTGAATTGCATGGGAGGAGATTGTCCGTCTTTCTCTTTCAGAGCAGCTACTGGATTCAAACTGAGTACCTTTGCATTGATAGTGCAGCTCTTTACCACTGAGCCACCAGAGCGCCAAGCTGGAACAAGGACAGGTGTGTGCATACTTGTGCCCACTGCAGCAATATTTCCCATATCAATGAGATGAAAACAACTTATGTGTCCAACAGCAGATGGCTGCATAGACAAGCAGTGGTAGGTCGATGATGAAGTACTATGTTTGCAGCACTAATGAATAACAAAAACCACATAGTATAGGTGAACCTGGAGGCCACTATGCTTGCTGAGTGCAGTAAGTCAGTCATAAAAGGACATATACTCTATAATACCGCTCTTATAGAAGTGAAGTAAAGGTTTTTACCCAGAAATGCACATTGTCTGATGGTAACTAGGGATGAGAAAGGTAGGAAAATCAGTCATTAGGTAATAGACCCTTATTAAGTTGGGTGAAGGGAAAGATTATACTAAATAAGGGAACTATTTTTAAAAGCACCCACAAATCTAGAGCCACTGCAGTGGAATTGATTCTGATTAGCCATGATGCTTAGTACAGAGTACTGTTTCCCATGATTTCTGAGGCTCTGGATCTTTCTTAATGGAAGCAGACTGCCACATTTGTCTCCCAAGAGATGGCTAGTTGGTTCCAATTCTTGACCTTCTGGTTGTCAGTCAAACACTTAAACACTCCTGGCTGAAAGGTTGATGGAGAACAAATTCTAAAAAGAGTGGATGATAGAACTTGCGTATTCATGCCTCTTGACCTGTCCTGTCAATGAGGAGTACCGTTACTGTGACCCATAGCTGACCCCCAAGAGGGTTTTCAGAAACAGTTAACCACACAGGAGGAGGTTGCCATCTTTCTGTCACCTGAGTAACTGGTGGATTCGAACCATGTAGTTTTGTATTGGAAGTGCAGTTCCTTGCCACTAAGCCACCAGAGTTCCCTACAGGTGAGGAGAGTGGGCTTCAGACCCTTCTGAACACACTGTCCTGAGCAGCTCCTCCCAATCAGCATGCCCAAAATGTGGAACTCCTTTGCATCCTGGTTCCTGCCCAGCCCCCCCCCCCGATGGGCAAGAATACCAGGCCGGAGTGGGTCAGAGGGCTTTGTGGCCTCTCCTCATCCCTTCTCTCCCTTCCCTGGCCAGCTGCTGATCCCGATGATCACAGGCGAGGAGGTACCAGCCGAGAAGATGGAGAAGACCCTGGAGGAGGTGAACAACAGCCTCCAAATGTTTGAGGAGAAGTTTCTTCAGAACAGGCTGTTCATCACGGGGGACCACATCTCACTGGCAGATTTGGTGGCCTTGGTGGAGATGATGCAGGTGTGGGCAGAGGCTGGACAGGAGTCACCAGTAGGGCTAAGAACCCTAGGCTGAGCTGGAGGAGGGAAAGGCAGGCAGGACCACCCTGGGAGTAGTGGGGGCCGAGTCTGGTGCTGGACATAGCCAGGGACAATGGGAACACAGAGCATTTAAACCAAGAAGGGTCATGACTATCCATACCTGACAGATTCGTCAGCATGGGGAGGAGCTGGCCATGAACCTGGGCCAGGTGGAAGAGCTCTTGTGAGTCCTGGTCACTCTGCCATGATTCCAGGCTACCTCCTCTCCCTCTGGGCTCTCTGGAAAGTTCTTCCTGGCCTTGATTCCCTTCCAGAGTGCTACAGAGATGGTTGCACAGGGAAGCTCTCCTGGGGTGTACCTGGGGTTCACCTGATGTGTGTGTGTGGGCATTTGCCGGGCCTCTATTTGTAAAAGAAGGTCACCTCACTGGTGTGCGGCATGGCCAGTGTAGACCCCAGTTGGTCTCTTTGGAGGTTGACATGGTCTCTGGCCAGTCCATAAAGGGACCACTTTGTACCACTTTGCTTGGCCAATGCCCAAGCAATGCACACTTGGAAGACCAACTTCAGCCCATCAGGTAGACCTTTACCCCTCTTGCCTTACCCTCTACTTCCCCCAAGGCTTGGGAATATGTTCCTTCACTCTTTTAATTTTTTATTTGTTTGCGTATAATGACTCATATACGTAGGGTTTTGTACATGTACATTGGGTTTTATATAACCATTCACATACATTTTATTTTATATAATTTATTACCATTGCTCTATGCATATCGCTATGTGCCCTGTCTTTTCAAGTCTCCACTGGAGACCAGAGAGCATTATGCTGAATGAAGTAGCTCACTCACAAAAGGATAAATAATGCATAGGGCCACTATTGGAAAATAAGTGAACATGTTCCTTCCTAAGGTAGGTAGTTGGGTCTCTGGTCTTGGCCCCTATGACTGGTCACAGAAGAGGAGTCAATATGAAGAGAAAGCTAGCTAACTTCCCTCCCAACCTAGGGTCAAGGTGTTTCCCTGGAAGAGAGCAGAAGCTATAGGCTCATTCAGGCCAGAGGAGCCAGAGCCACCTGGGCCAGAGACCACATCAGAGAGGGGCCAAAGGATGGAGCAAGACCAGCGATGCAGAGCACTGGGGACTCCCAGCTCCCCATCCCCACTGCACATCCATAACACTACTTATAACTCCCTTGTCTAGCTCTCAGGGGCAAAAAGACCAGTTCTATATGGACGTAGATGGGAGGTCCCTTGAGGCTGTAGGAGGGTTCCAGGGAGAACAGGTTTCCAAGCTGACCTCCCTTCCCTGTGTCTGTTCACAGCCCATGGGGGGCAACCACAACGTTTTCCTCTACAGTTCCAAGCTGGCTGAGTGGCGCATGCGTGTGGAGCTGACCATCGGCTCAGGCCTCTTCAGGGAGGCACATGACCGGCTAGTGAAGCTGGCCGAGTGGGACTGCTCGACACTTGATCCTTCCGTCAAGGACAGGATCTGTGAGTACCTGCAGAAGCTTAAGTGACCCTAGAGGTCACTGCCCCGCAAGGCATGGCCTGCTTGGCTCGCTGGGTCTCCTCTTTTAGCACAGGAACAGAGAGCAGTCCTGTCCCACTGCCTAATAAAGAGCTGGCCAAACCACCTTCTCTGCTGGGCAAGGGTCAGTGGTGTGAAAGAAAGGCCCAGAGTGGAGGAGGTTCTGGCGTGAGAAAAGGTAGTTGTCAAGGGTCCTCCTAGCTTCCAAAACATCAAAGGTTACATATGGATTACATCTCAACATCAAGAAAACAGAAATCCTCACCACCAGGCCAATAGCAAATCATGATACATGAAGAAAAGATTGGAGTCGTCAATGATTTCATCTTACCTGTACCCACACAATCAATACCCTTGGTTTCAGCAGTCTAGAACTTAAAAGAGGTGTTTTGGGGAGCTCTGGTGGCCTAGTGAAAAGAAGCTACACTGCAATCCCAGAGATACGTGGTTCGAATCTACCAGATGCTCTGCTGGAGAAGGAGGGGCCATCTCCTCCTATACCAGTCAGATCTGATTTGACGGTACACACACACACACAAACAAAATTTTTTTAAAAATTTAAAAAAAGAGGTGTTACATTGGGAAAATCTGATGTCAGAGACCCCTCCAAAGTGATGAAGAATAAGGATGTCAGTTTTAATACTAAGCTGTGCCTGACCCAAGCCATTGTCTTTTCAATTACTTATTAGGCATCTAATAGACAGTGACTAAGGATGACAGAAGAGGCATTGATGCTTTTGAGTTGTGGTGTTGCAGAAGAGTACTGAATATCACATGGGCAGCTGTCAAGAGAACAAATAAGTCTGTCTTGGAGAAAGTGTAGCCAGGTTACTCCTTAGAGGTGTAACTTAGATGGTGAAACTTCATCTGAAATAATTAGGGTATGTTGTCAGGAAGGACCAGGCTTTGGAAAAGAATATCATGCTTGGAAAGGTGCAGGGTCAGCCAAGGAGAGGAAGATCTTCAACAAGATGGATTGCAGTAGTGACTGTCACAATGGGCTCAAGCATGTCAGTGATGTTGAGGATGGCACAGTATAGGATAGGGCTCAGATCTGTCATTTATAGGGTCGCTATGAGAAAGCATCTGACACATCACAATGATTAAATTGTTAGTGTTGTTGTTGTGGTGGTGGTGTACTGTAGAGTTGGAACCAACTCATCGCTGACCCTCCAGCAGGTTTTCAGAGGCAGTAAATCACATGGGAGGAGACTGCCCAACCTTCTCCCACAGAGCAGCTGGTGGCCTCTAACCATATGCCTTCAGGATTGCAGCGCAGCTTCTTTCCACTAGATCATCAGAGCTCCCCAAATTGTTAATAGCAATATTAAGGATTTTAATACCCCACTTTCACTCATGGATGAAGTAGCCAGACAGAAAATTAGCAAGGGAACAGATACCGCAGACAGAACTACAAACGAGCTCTATATAACCGACAGGACACACTGCCGTGGGCTGCTCCAGTCAGGAGGAGCTTGTAAACCTGAGGTCTAGGGTCTCGAAGAGGGAGCACGAAGGTGGGTAGAAGTTCGGAGAAGGGACGATGAAAGAACACAAGACAAACAGTCAAGTGATCTTGATTATTTTACTTCTAAGTCATTCTAATTCTCCTTCTTTCTTCCTTTCCCCCCCTCCTTTATTGCATTTAGCATGATACATTTATATTACATTTTTACAATTAAGGGCTTAATCAACAGCCAAAAAGACAACAAAAGTAAGAATAAAGTTTACATTATTTTCTTGCACACAGCTATTTTTTATAGTCACAGTTCCTTGGTAATTGGAGAGCATGGAAAGCTATTTTTTTAATTAAATTTTATTAGTTTTAATGAACATTTACAGAGATTTTGGGTTTTCATTCATTCATTGTTGCACTGTTTTCTCCACCCTCCTCCCCAGTT